AAAATTGGAAGCTCTAGGAAGGTCAATCACCTTTTAATTCTTCTTTTTTAGCATCTAGGTAACACTAGTACAAAAGTTAAATGCCCTCATTGTTCCCTAGCTGAATAGAAATGGAAAGATGTGTTACAAGAGAGCACATCTCTGGCTGTCACTCTTTTTAAGTGGTGTATTCCTATGAGTTGTCACTTATGAAGACCACAGGAAAAATCTTTAGGCCTTCTTTTGTAGCAACACTGCTTGTCATCTTCAGTATTTTATCTGATACAAAGATATAATAGTCTTATAAATATCTGAATTATGACCTTTAAAGCAGGCAGTCTGACAGAATACAACAGTTTTCTATCCTTTTGTGGCCTGATTTTAGTTTTCACTTTTTATTTTTAAGGAAAGGGGGATAAATAATGTCGAACACGCTGAAATGACCAGACTGCAATGAATCCAATTTTAGACAAAATCTAAATAGACATTAGCTGGGCTTGCTAGTTTGCTGTTCATCACTGTTCTTGGCCAGTGTACATTTACGTCAAGGAAATAATATAGTAGTGTCCTCTTGATTGTCACACCCCAATGGGTGTTTTAAAGATTATGCAAATTTTTAAGCAAACCATTGTACTGGTAATTCTAGGAGATTTTCCAGGTTCACTGCGCTTTATTCAGTGAATAAAATGTGAATGGAGCTTGCTGTGATCCTAACAAAGATAGACTCCTAGAAGAGAGTGTATGGTGTGAAGGCATGACTTTAAAATGAGCCAGCATACTTGTGCAATCTGAGTCTAGCTAGTACTGGTAATGATAACCATGAAGAGTGAGATAACACTGGCATCAGGTTATATTAGCAACCAGAGTTTGTGGGGAATTGTATAGTAGTTGCTAACATGTGCTAAAACCCATGCCACTGCATTGTCACTGCTACTATAACCCTTGCTAGCTAGTGTGATATATGTAATACCACGTGGTATAGGCATCCTACCATATAGTACATTTATTCTGGTGTATAAACATACTCCATGAGAGGAGGTACGTGTGTGAAGAGAGCCACTAGCCTGCAAAGAGAGAGTCTTTTCATTGAGAATTTTCTTTATAATGATAATACTCCCTTAACCCAAGCTAATTTGTGCAGCCGCATATCAAAAGTAAATGCTTTTTCATCATTAATGCTCGAAAAATGTCAAGTGGCTTTGTAACAATTCAACCTGGGACGAATGGAACAAATTTACCTAATCAGTGCAGTCCAGTCTTGCAAAATGGCCATAAAAATTTAAAAGCCTGGGCACAAAATCTACTTGCTTGCTGATTACCATGGTAACTGATAATAATAATAAGCAAATGGCATTTTCCCCAAGCAAGGAAGTAAACTACAATTTTTCCAGGTTGATCTAATCTCTGACAACAAATGTAATCCCATAATCCACCCAGTATTAAGAACATCTAGTACAGGCCAATAAACTTGAGACTCTTATTCTAAAGCCAAGGATTTTTTTTTAATGGTGGCCCTATTAGATGTTCTGCTCATTAACTAGTGACATTTTAAGAGTTAATTTAAAAATTGTAACGTTATGGCTAGTCTACATTAAACCAGACAATATAAGCTTTTTATCTAGAAGATAAAAATGACGTCGAATCAGAAGTCTGAATTATTCATGATCGTTTCTAACCATTTCTTTTCCTCCTTTGTTCAGTATAAAATCTTATAAGCTTTTCTTTCAGTCAAGGTGAAAGCAATATTAAGTCTCGGAAGTGAAACTTGCCCAAGACATGTAGTTCGGCGAAATCCTTGTCCTGTAATCCTAGCATTCTATTCAGTGCTACTATTCAATATCCCACTTGTTATATAAGCTGCACAATATAAGTGGTTGATGAGATTTATTTGTTAGACTGCTGCTTTCCTTCATCTGAAAAGGGTTATCCATTCTTTCACTCCCACAGGAGTAACACTGATGTGGCTGATTGGTTCTGCTATGCTCTCTAATCCAGCAACTCCTCTTTCTATTCATATTGCTGAACTGTTTGCTGGGGGGCGGGTTATGGTTGCTCAGCTTTTAGGGTGCCATATGAATTGAATTTTAAGAAGCATTAGTGAGATCTACCATATTTCCTAAGATGAGGGTTTTTTGCCCCTATTCATCATGGAGGACTGCCTGCCACAGGCTGGGGCCAGAGCTCCCACTGCCCCTGCTACCTGGCTGGGGCTGGGTGTGGGGCCAGAACCAGTCGCAGACATAGCTGCCAGGTGCCACTGCCACCTGGCCACGATGTGCTCTGTATCCCATAGGGTAAGCAGTGATAGGGTGAGATAAGTGGCTGGGGGTGGGGGGGCAGACCCCAGGGGGGAGATATGTTAGCGGGGACGGGGGCGCTGGGAGCATAGGCCGGGGAAGTGGCAGAGGAGGTATGGCAGGGCAGACCCTGCCCCCCTGCCATTTACCACCCACCACTCTCCCCTCTGCTGCTGCTTTCCCTGATGCACCAGTGGTGGGTATGAATTTAAGACACCCCTCTGATAATTAGATTTTATACATGGACAATTATAACAAATGAATAATTTTCCATGGATTAGGGCGTCATGTTAAATTTGAAGTGATCTTGGATTCAGTGAAATCCAGTAATTCAGTAATTAAACTTGAACAGGTTTGGGGATCTTGGAGCATATGTGCTAGAAGCTTTCTTCTGGGAAATGCTTTAAAACTAAGACTTGAATCTAGCAGTTGAACCTTTCTTTAGACACTGATTCAGTATAACTATTTCCAATCACTGTTAAGAGACTTGCTCAATTGCCATGAGTGAGTCTAACAGTTCCTACACACCTATTTCCTGTATTTTTATTGATATCGACAGGAGCCCCATGTTCACCTGCAAGGGCAGAATCTGGCCCTTAATCCCCTGTGGTATTCTCTCTCAGGAAATATGCACATTTTTAGGAGAAAAAAAGATTCATTCATTACTAAGGTTTGAATGGTGAAGAATAGTGAAGATTTACAGGGCTAAAATCCTTTACCTCTAACCTTTTAAAAGTAAATCACCCCTTTTAATGTAAGACTCAAACATACAGAGTATTCAGTATGCAAATAGCATGCATGCCAGATGGATCTAAGGGAAGCGCACACATTTCCATAGAAAACAAATGTGAGTGTAAAAAAGCAGATGCTTTCTACCAACAGAGTGTACATACAGTTCTCAAGAGGACCTAAGCGGCAATTTATTTTTGAACTGCTGGAAGTATGCAAATTCCTCAGAATTAAATGTGAATTTAAAAGAAATGGCATCTATTAAGGACAAGGCAACCCAAAGAGGCAATCGGGAACTTAATAATTTAATCAAGTATTGTAACAGACTCAGCAGTATATCTAAAGCCATCAACTCAAATGTCAGTTGAGCTTATCAAGGAGATAAGTGGTGTTGTTGGAAAGATGTCTTCAAGAGAGTGGCATCTGGATTCTTTATCTGTCATCCAGGGAGAAGTCGGAGGGTTTGGATAATGTGGTAGACTAGATATTTCCACATGGAGCACAATTTTACTCTGACAAGTGTCCCAGAAAACGGCACCTTTTTACCCAACGGAGCTCATTCCTGTGTCTGTTCATTGCTCTATCTGCTGAACACAATATCAAATAGAAACGTTTCCTACTTTTCATGCTTGTTAGTATAATCCAGCCAAGAGCGAGGTAGCTGAACTCTATCCTGTCTCAGTCAGCAGAATTGTTTGCTGATTTGCAATTGTTGCAGGACCCAATTCTACGTGGAGCCTACATGGGCGGGGGGCCCGCACTTTTACAACTGGGGTTATAATCTGAAGACTACATAATTGTACAAGTGTCATTGCAAAGACACCTCTGGGCCCACACAGTTTTAGTTTTGCTGGTGAAGATGTGAGGCTAGCTCCATACAAAAGAGGAAGCGACATTGTGTCTAGCATTGCCAAAGCACAACTTCTACGGAGACCTTGTTACACACACAACCCAGTTGTGTAACAGCTGCCCTATTGGCTGAATTACAAGGGACTGAGCTAGGGAGCTCTATGGCAAAAAGTATGAGCTGCCAAGGCTTATATGAATTGCTACACCTGGGGATTCAAATACAGTATAACCTCATAAATCCAGTGTGCTCAGGACCGAGCACCTGCTGGAAATTTGAAAATTCTGGACTTTTGAAACCGGAGTGGCGGCTGGTCGCGGAGCGGGGGGTAGGGGCGGCTGGTCCCGGAGTGGGGGGGTAGGGGCGGCTGGTCCCGGAGCAGCGATCGCACACGGAGTGGCAGTGCGTGGTGGTAGGTGGCTCTGGCAGCCAGCCGCCACTACTCCCTGATGTCATGTATTTTTTAGAAGTGCCGGATTTTCAAGAATTCCGGATTTTTGATATCGGGATTTATGAGGTTATACTGTATAACTCACATCTTCCGTGGACCAGACAGAGAAACTTGTTATGCGCACTTGCTAATGGGCTACATATCCACTTCCCCTACGTTAAAGAGAGACACTTACAGTTTAATGCAAAGCCCAGCTGCTGCAGCCGCATCCCTCATCTCCACTCTGCGGTCTCCTTCGGCAGCTGAGCTTTTCTTTTAGATTTCCCTGCCTTTGCTTTGTGACAGGTGCTAATATTCAGCACCGTACCTAGACTCTTGGTGGCCTCGAGCGAACTTTTAGCATTGGGCTCCCCTTCACCGGAGATAATGATGACAATAATTGGACAACGGAAAAAAACAAACCATTTTTGGGCCCCCTTTCTGTCCGGGCCCCAGGCAGCCCCCCGGTTTGCCCATGCCTGTGTCCGGCCCTGCTAGTATTGGCAGAGCTACCCTGATGTACTGTCCTCTGCTACCCCACAGATCAGTGTCAGAGGTGTATGAAGCTAAATCATGGTGTTTTGTTATAATGCCTGATAACTTGACTGGGGCTGGGTCCTGTGTTTCCAAAATATTCATGGCTGAATTTGTGTTTTTTTTCCCTTATGAAAATCATTCCCTTGCACTGAGTGATATGTGTTATCTCTTCCTCACACAGGTTGTAATCCTTGGTAAACATTCTCGAGGATATCACTACATGCTAGCTAACCTGGTAAGAATTTTTTTTGTCACCAGAAGTATAGCTAAGTTAGAGGGTAATGTATTCTGTTCAGGTTGTGTCAACTTTAATCAGCCAAGGAAGTAATGCATGAAGGAGTTCGTGGATTTTGAGAAATGACTTCAGTAAATACCAGAACTGGTATGTAATAGTAATTTGTACTCAATTATCCAGTCTTTGTTTTATCTAAGAAGCTCATATCCTCTATTAATTTAAAAATAATAATTCAATTATATGTTTTCCACTAATTTATATCCTCTTAAATAACACACTTGATAATCCTAATCCTCTGCATAACAGATTTTTAAATTTAAACACTAGGAAAATAATTACATTTTATTTGTATATAATACAAGTGGCATAAAGAGCCAAATTGAAACTATAATTCCATCTAGTAAAATGGCCAGGCTGCATAGCTAGTCATTTGTGCTTTATAGATAGACTCTTACTGGAGAGTTACCACTTTGTACATATTCATTAATCAGGCACAGAACAGTATATTTTTATCCATATTAAAAATGCATTCCCCCCACTCTAGTTTGCCTATACTTCTGTATAATGTTTTTGAAAAGTCATCTGCTAGACTTCCTGTAGTTGATGCTGCAGGAAGAATAATTTTTGGATTCTGTGTCTCCTGTGTGCAAAAAAACATTCTACCAGTAAAATCATGCTCTCTGCTTAAGAGAAGAGTTTCTGTAATACTTTTTTTCTTTGTGTGACTAAAGTAGGAAAGAGTCATTTTAAAATAGCATTGCTAGTAGTGTGGCGATACAGCTTTAAATTGTCTCACTGTATTAGAGAGTCAATCCCATTCCTATTCATTGGAGTTCATATACATAAGAAATGCAGAGAGGCTAATTCTGCACTGCCTTGCTCCATGCATGGCCAATTACATTGAATTTACTGTGGAATCAAAACAGCACCAATTTGCAGTCCCCTGGCACAGACATGAAATGACAACATGGGGTGCAGGGCCCGGGGTGGATCAAGCCCACCTTATTTGAAGGTGTGATATCACGGCAGTGTTGTGACACACAGTACTGCCTGGCAGTGAGGGTGATTTTGGTCACAACACAGCCGTAAGAGTAGCAAGTAGCATTGTGCTTCCAGGACACAGTGGGTGCATCTATGCGAGATACTTTCCTGTAAAGTAGGGTAGTTTACTGCACAGTAAGCATTTCCGTCTACATGTGCACATGCTTACTATGCAGTAAACCTTGCTAATTGCGAGTAAATTTGCTACCTGCAAATGCAAGTGAATGCATTCACAGCAAATTTACTTGTGAATACTAACTGCGCGGTAGCACTCGTATAGACACCTGACTGGGAGCAAATCTGCTTCTGGTCAGCCAGCATTGCTTCCTGTCCCTGAGAACTTACTGCTGCTGGGGCAGGCTCCACCACTGGAGCCTGGGTAGGGACTATGTCCTCCTGTCCCAGCAGCATGGAGCTCCAAGCCCCCCGCTCCAAGATCACTTTGCCATCGCAGTCAGGGAGCAGGGGTCTGGGAGACTGCGAAGCTGGCACTGGGAGATCCAGTACCCGCCCTGCCAGTGCTGAGAGTTTTGTGCTGGTAGAGCCTGGGGAGCCTGTTCCCCACCCAGCTCCTTGATCATGGAGCTGAGCAGCGAACAAGCTCTCTAGCCGGTTCCCCACCCAGCCCTGCAATCACGTTGCTGAGCAATGAACAGGCTTTCCAGCTCCCCACTCTCCCCACCCCACCCCTGTGGTCACAGAGCTGGTGCTGGGAACTGTCCCAGTCAGGGGCAGGTCCCAACCCCATGCCCCAAATGGGCAATTGAGGTGCGGGGCTTGGGAAGAGCTGCAGGGGAGGGGCAGGTACCAGCCCCCTGCCCTGATCCACCAGTGGGGAAGCTAGTAGCAAGCCCCCAGCTAGGTGGGGAATCCCCACCAGGCCGGGGCTCACTGCTAGCTGCCCCAGTAGTGGACCTGCCCCTCCCCTGAAGCTCTTTTCAAGTCCCCTGCCCTGATCAGGGAGCTGGGGCTGGGAGCTCCCTTCTGCAGCAGGCAGCCCCCAGGGGACAGGGAGCAGTGTCCCAACCCTGGCCAGGAAACAGCTGTGTCCTGGCCTGGTGCTCCCTGCCAGCCCCTGGGGTAGCACCCAGGGGGAGCCTAGAGTTCCCCCTGCTGGCAGCTGAGGCCCATTGCAGGGCCCCAGGAAGTGAAAGCAGTTTGCTGCCATTAGCAGCACATCTGCTCCTGCTTCTCTACACATGGAGATGCCTGCCTGGGAGCATTTACTCAGAGTAATTTACTTGCAAGTAAACTGCTCCCAGATCTAATTCACATGTAGACACACCCAGTGGCTCCCAGCAGACCCTGCTGGACAAGAAGGAGCATTAGCATGTGCTGCTTTACTGGTCAGTGCAGAGAAAGAAATGGTTTCGGACTATACTTCTTGAGCTGGTTTACACTTCAAGTCTTCTAGCAGTTGGTGATCCCTGAGTAGGGATAGCTCCTTGCAACCTATCTCCTTCATCACCACCTGCCTTTCAGACATGCCCAAGAAGCAAGCCCCCACACTAATTCAATGCTACATATTTGAACAAGGAAGGTAAGTATTTTGCTAACCCTATGGCCAACCAGCCATCTTCTAATAGGCCTCATGTGTAATATTGAAAACCATTTTGGTACACTGTGGCTGATCAAGAAACATTGCCACACTATCATAAGGCAATTTTCCATCACAGAGGTCTGCATTACAAGCTGATACCAAAATTAAACTCCATTTTATTCCAGGACTACAATTTATTAGTGCTAAAGGTTGTCCCCTAGGTAGGATATTTTCTATACGCCACAAAGAACTTTCACCAGTTTCTTCTGTACTAAACTAGTAACTGATAAAAAATAGTTTTGCCACCAGTTTTTGTCTTTAAAACTAGGCCAAGTAGCAGAACCTTCATGTGACACTAATTCTCGTTTTCTATATATATGCTTCAAGGGTTTCACAGACATTACGTTGGAGAGAGTAATGCATGGAGGTGCCAATGTTACTGGATTCCAGATTGTGAACAATGAAAACCCAATGGTTCAACAGTTCTTACAACGTTGGGTTAGGCTGGATGAAAGGGAATTCCCTGAAGCTAAGAACTCGCCGTTAAAGGTAAACTTTTGTTGACAGTAATGGAAGTCCTTGTGTTACATTTAGGTTTTCCCAGATTGGAATAGTTCAAAACATTCACTTTGAGTCCAAAAGAGAGAGAGAGAGAGAGAGAGAAAGACTGTTAGCTGAAAACAAGAAATAAACACAAGGTGGTAAACTCTGAAAAAGGAAAGCGTTCCAACGTTACGGTCCTGCCACACAGGAAATTCCCACCGACTTCTGCTAAAGATGGATGTAAATCCAAACTCCAGAGCTGAATGTAGCTTTGTTGTGTGGAAATTCAGTTTTGGGTCCAAATGATCCGGCAATTAGTCCCTTCCAGTATTCTCTCACAAGTATGAGGCCCCAATAATCTCACGCAGGCGACTGAATTATAAGGAAGCATATTCAGATTTTTGAGGCTTTGCTTTTAGACACAAGAATTCATCAGATAATGTTTGCAGACATGAATTGCTAGAGAATTACTGTGTATTATCATGAGGCTTTTCCCCTTTCCCTTCTTCCTCTGCTAGTAAGGCCACTTTTGCACCTATTTACCTAGCTGAATGGAGCCCTCCAGAGACAGCAAAGTCCAATTTGGACAGGTGGTAATGTTTCCACCAGTTCTGTGACATTTTGCACAGTCAGACCCAAAAAATAGCGCCTCAAAGTCTGTCACTCCGAAGCAGATCATCTGAGGGAAATTCATCCCTTTCACTCTATATCAGGGAAAGTTAAACCATCTAATAACCACCTCTGACTGAGTGTTCATCACTCTCAAATCTAATTTGAGAGGGGTTACAGGCACATTGGTGGACAGGATCAAAATTCAGAATGATCTTAACGCTGAGAAATGGCCTGAAATCAGTGAGGTAAAGCTCAATAAAGGCCAGTGCAGAAATATAACATGTAAGAAGAGTAAGCCAGATGGACAGACACAAAATGAGGAATATCTAGCTAAGCAGCAATACTATACAGTTGAGATCACAAAAGAGAACACAAGTTAGTAATGAGCTGCTATTTCAAAAAAAAGGCAGATTTGTTAGGTTGTATTCATCGGAGTCTTGTCTGGAAGACATTCCCCTCTGCTCAGACTAGTGTCCAGTTCGAGGCTCCACATATTAAGAAACAGGTAGGCAAATAGGAGGAAGAAACTGAAATCACAGGAGATTTAGGAAAAATACTTATAAAGACAGATTGGAATAATTGGGTCTGTTTGTTTGGGGTGGGGGAGACTAAGGGAAAATATAAAAACAGGCTTCACAGTTGCTTATAAAAAGGATGGTGACTAATTCCTATCCCCGTCTGCTGAGGGTAGGATAAGAAGTAATTGGCTTAATTTGTAGCAAAGGAGATTTAGGTTAAATAGCAGGAAAAGCTTTCTAGCTACAAGGAGAGTTAAGTATTGGAAGAGAGATTGTGGGGTCCCTGTTGTTGGATGTTTCTAAGGGGGGGTACACACGACCTGTCAGGGATGGCCTAAGTATCCTGTCTCTGAACAAAGGGAAAACCTTGGGTCCCTTCCATCCCTACATTTCTATGATTCTGTGATTTTGTACGCGGAAAGAAAAATTTCCTTTTGCTGCGGTTTATGTCAGTGTTTTTTCCATAGGCAATACAATCATCTACTTCTTTACCAGCTCCATCTACCCATTTTGCAGCAAAATCCCATCCAACTTTTAAGAGGAAAGCCCCCCAGTGACTGGTTTTGGCCTATCCTAATGGGTATCTGGATACATATACCTGCCACTTAAGAATCTGGTCATACGTGGAGAAAGAGATAGCTAAACCCCATGAAAGTTAGGGCCAGCTCTGATATCCCCATTTCTTAGCAAGCCAGGAGTATGTGCCACCTTACAGGAGTGAAGGTGAGTATCATACTACTCTCAAAACTCAGCAATCCATGAAGGAACCCTAGGCAGATTTTAATCCACTTAAAGGCAATTCACATTGAGCGAAAAATTGTTCTCTAGCCATTAAAAATAATCTTAAGTATATAGTACAGCACAGAGATTACATTACCTTTGTACAAACATCCTGCTCATTATAGAAACTAGCACACTATTTATCAATCAAACAAAAGGCATGCTTAAAAATTGATGTACAATACTTTTGATTAGTAAATAAAATTGCTTAGAGATTCAAGCCCTGATGTTTAATTTATTCCATATTTTATCAGCCTTTCCCCTTTCTCTCTCTCTCTCTCTCTCTCTCGTTCTCTCTTTTTCTTTGCATGCTCATGCATTTGTAAGTAGAGTTCGAATAAAGTAGAAAATTACATAGCTCTCTTGGCATGACTCGGAAGGGACTACATTAAAGTTACTGACAATTGATGCATTCTACTGAAAAAATTATCATCGCATAAGATTTCGGTAGTGCTAGTTTGGACAGGCATTATGAGACTGTGTTATGAAAAAAATCTTTTAAAAATATGATCTGATTCTGCATTGTTGGGTGGAATGTGCCATGTAATATTTGCTAATTTATTAAAAAGAGAGAGAAGGAGACCGTTGCAATACTGAAACCACAGGAGAAAATCAAAAATGAGGTGGACAGGGACTGAAAGAAGAGCTGCATCCAGATTCAGGCAGTATCATAAAGATCTCACTATTAAAAGGACAAGGCAGTCAAGTGTTTATAAACTGCTGTAATTAAAAACTTGGGAGGAACGTCTGGCACAAATCTTCTCCCTGACACTTTTGCTGCTTTGTTTATCAGGTGTGTTTCTCTGGCTCTGCGTGCATAGAAAACCTTGTTTTCGTACGGGTCACCAGAGGTTTTACATGGATCTCATTGAAACAGTGATTTCCCTCAAAAAGATCAAACACGTCGTACTAAGCAGTGGGCATAGACTCCTGCAGAATGGAAATAACTGCCATTGAAGTCAGTAGGAGTTACTGAAATCCTGCAGAAGAGCTGCTGAAAATGTATTTGAAGTCTAGATTTCCATCTTTCCAACCAGTGCCTGGGCAACACGTGGTTGTTTTCACAGTCATTCCAGAGGAAGCTTTGGGGGGAATCACAAGTGCTAGATTCCTTCTGGAAATCCAATATTTCTCTCTCCTATAAACATACAATATTTCACTTACATACAAACACCACAGATATACGAGGGAGCCGATTGCAGGAGTTTTTTAAGATCAGACCCCGTAGATTGTTGAGCAGTTGAATTTTTATGGTAATATTTGGGATCAATATATTTCAGTGGCATTTCAATCCTGAGTACACAAGATAGCTCCAAATCTTAGGCCTATTGACAGTGCACAGCTAAAATATAATATTCCAGGGAGTGGGGCAGTATCTAGCAGAGGAGAGTTTAATCATGATCTACAAAATATGAAATAAATGTAAAAGCACCATCTAGTGATGCTTGTGGCCTGCGATGTGAAAATGTTACCGGCACTATACAGCGGTAATCTTTTTGGTAGACTACATCTGTTGTCTATAAACTTAATGCAGTCCCTTCCCAAGTAATGACTGCCGTTTTGTACAATAGCAGAAAGCAGAAATGTGCTCAGAAAAATCAACCAGTTTATTGCTGGCCACGGAAGCTAGCTAATCAGAAATATCAGGAATGATTAATGTTACCTATGACTCACAGCTGCTTGTCTTGACCATCTTGTTTTTAAAAAATTCAGAGCAAAACCAAATAGTATTTACCATTACTGTTGGTACAACATGGCCCAGCTTTGCATTAAGGGTCTCCATTTAAAGAAGCAGCTCTACAACTAAATCAATTCAATACCTTACATAAAGATAAGCTTTATGTTATTGTTATATGCTGTAGGAAATGAAACCATTTTTTTATTTGATACTTGAAATAGCTGCAATCATTAAATAACACAGGATCTGTGGCAGGGGGAAGGGGGCAGTTGCTCTGGAAACCTTTTAGCAAAGAGAAAGAATGGACCTGATAAACCTGCGGCAATGTCAGAGTACAGTTTGTCACAATATTTTATTTGTGTCAATTTTAGTATACATCTGCACTGACCCATGATGCAATCCTAGTAATAGCAGAGGCTTTTCGCTACCTCCGAAGGCAGCGTGTCGATGTCTCCAGGAGAGGCAGTGCTGGAGACTGCCTAGCAAACCCTGCCGTACCCTGGAGCCAAGGAATCGATATAGAACGAGCACTGAAAATGGTAAGGGCAAACATGCCTAAGCTATTCAATGCGTGTATTGCATTTTTAAAATGTACAGCTTTGAAAACTGCAACAACACTCTGTTTATCTCCTGAGCAGCATCTCCAAGGATATGGTAAAGGATGTAACTGTCATGAGCGGCGATCCGGGTTTTCTGTTTCCCACAGAAAAATGGGGAAAAAACACGGATTTCCCCTTTTACCCGAGAAAAACACAGATTTCTCATTTTAACAGAGAAGCACGTGGATGTTGCAGTTTTGCAAAGAGCTCTCTGCAGACTGGCAGAGTTGCAGCCTGCAAGCAGCTGGGGGGAACGGGAGGAGGGCGATCAGGCAGGGGGTGCCATGTGCATGTACATGCTCACGGCCGCCAGGCAGCCTCGATAGCTGGTCCCGCAGGTAAGTCAGGGGCCGGGGAATTGAGGTCTCCATAGGGAGGGAGGGAGAGAGTTGGGCAGGGCTGGGGCAGGGGCTGCTGCCCAGCGCAGGTGGTGTGTGGGGCTTGGGGCCCGGGGCCAGAATGCACAGCTGCAGGGCCCTGGTGCAGAACAGACGGGGCCGCAGGTAGCTCATCTGGTGGGGGGGGAGTCTGGCTCCCCACCACTGCACACTCTCAAAGGGGGGGGGCATGTGCCCCCCAGACCTGTGCATGGGGTGGGGGTGGGCTGCCCGCTGCAGGCTTGTTTGTCCCGTCACCCTGCTGCCCTCCCCCCAGGGCCTCCATGGCCCAGCAAGCAGGACCCGGCATGGCAGGGCAGAGCAGGACTGGGCAGGAAAGCACCTTGCTGCTGCTGTGAGCCCTATGTCACCCTGACAAGGTGCCCCCTGCCCTCCTGACAGCAGCAGGGGTTGTGGCATGGAGTGGTGCACCTCACTGTTTCCAGGCAAGCAGGGGGCGCGTGACCGTGGCAGCGCGGGGTTCCAGCACCGAGGGCCTTCCCCACCCAAGCACGCTCTGCTCAGCCATGCCAGGTCACACCCACTGGGCTGTGGAGGTGCTAGGGGGAGGGCAGCGGGGTGGGGAGCCTAAGGCTGCAATGGGCAGCCTGCATCCGCCTCTGCCTTGTACACAGATCTGAGGGGCACGTGTCCTTCCTGGCTCCTCTGGGAGTGCACACAGTGATGGGGAGCCAGCCTTCCCACCCACCCCCCAACCTCATAGCAGGCAGCCCACACCCACCCCTGCATGGGCTCTGCTCTGGTCGCGACACCCACGGGGGAAGGGGGAGCCAGGCTCTACTCTCCACTCAGACACAGCAGCTGCCACCTCCCATGGGTGGCAGCAAGGGCTCAGGCATTGTTGCAGGGGGCAGGAGGTTGCAGACCCTGGTCCTTGGCCCCGAAGCCCTAGCAGCTAAGGTACCCCCTGGCAGGGCTTGGGGGGCAGGGGGCTGTGGGTGGGGGGTAAGGGGCACCAGCGGGGCTGTGGGTAGGGAGTGAGGGGCACTAGCAGGGCTGGGGACTGTGGCTTGGGAGTGAGGACCTACATTCTGGTGAGCTAAGGGGGCAGGGAGAGCTCTGATTTTCCATGATAAAAAACCCAAAATCAAATACCAAAATGTATAGGTACTTAGAATGTATTTTATTACAGTGATTGAGGCACTGGTAGGCTTCCGCATTGCTTTTAAATTGTAAATATATCAATAAAACATTGTGTTCAGTTGGTATCTATATATATAGTGGCGTTTCATTTTAATTGCAGATGTTGGGGCGGGGGGGGTTCAGAGAATTTGTGGGTTTTTATCAGAGAAAACCAGGATCCCTGGTCATGAGCTACCTCTATATAGGCCAATGTAACTTTACAACAGATACAGTTGCAAAGACCTTTTGGTTGCCAAATTGGGTAGAACTCACCTACTTATTCTTCATAAGCACAAAGTCTTGCTACTGAAGTGGACAGCTGCAGCATGCCTTTAAAAAGAATACCGACAAACACAAGAGATCTGAAATGCCATCTATTAGAGGGTAGCAATGATGTGTTCAAACTATGCAGTGCCACATGCCTGCCATTGTCCTTTAGGCCAGAAATTTGTCCTCTAGCATCTGGGGCTCACAGAAATACAAAACAAGCAACTGGGTACTAATTGTAATGTTTACCCAATGCTTCATGGTGCCCAATACAATGTTCGCTAGCAGCTCTGCAAATGCCTCTGTATTAAAAGCATTGTTACAGGTATTTTGAGGCCAGATGAAAGCTGATAATGCAACCCAAAACAAAACAGAACCAGGTAAAAATTTTGATCTCAGCACATCTACACATTCATTGATGCACTTTAGGTAATACGCATTACATCTAGTACCTCCAGGTACTTTTATATGTGCTCTGAGGGTAGGGACTGGGAGATGGCACTTTATTTAGAGTGGCTCCAAGAGTCTCTCTAATTAAAGGGCTGCCACGTCTTGTGTATCAGCATCTCTGCACTTAAAAATGGCAGCAGGGGTGCTTGAACTAAAGCTCATTCAACGTACAATATGTTTTAGTTCAAGCACCCCGCCGCCATTTTTAAGCACGGGGATGCTGATACATGAGACGTAGGAGGCTGCTGGAGCACAGTAATTGCCAGCAGACTCTAATCGAGTCTGCTCCAACACACTGGAATTAATTCCAGCAGAGCAGCCTCCATGCTTGTGTATAGGCACCCTCCATTGTGAAGTACTAGAAAAAGGCGCACTAACCTATTTTAATGTGATTTGATCCAGTGCAGCACAGCTCTGTGCCCAGGGTAGCATCGGCTCCTGCTTTACCAGTTGTGGTAGTGTGATCAGCTGCCACTATGGCAATGGCTCCTTTTGCTCCCCCCCCCGCCACCCAGTTACACTACTGGATTAAATATCAGTTAAATCTCTTTGCTTTTGGTTGACTTTGTTCTCTTTTGTATTGGGCTGATTTTTAAAGCCATAAAAGTGAATGAAAACAGGAAGTGTCAGCTAACATCTTCATGAGCGCAGGTGAAAAACCTGGGGCCCAGCTGCGTGTGTGCTGACTTGGACCACTATGTATTGGAGGAGCTCTATGGGAGTAAGAACTGTGAGCACGGGGAAGTAAGACTGGGGAAGTGAAATCAGAATCCAGCTGACCTTTGTTTAAAAAATGTCCCTAAATAAGACTTTGGGCACTTAGCTTTTAAATACTGCTTTTTTCAAATTTTCCAAATTGGTGGGATTAGATCAAAAGAGTTATTCCCTCTCCTGATCTGCGAGAGCACACAAGCTGTGGCTCACTCCCTCCTTGTCAGAAGTCTCCCTTTGTCATTTATTTCATTTTTCTAACAAATGTCCTGACTGAGGTTTCACTTATAGAGTGTTATTATACTCTTGAAGAGAAGTTAATTACATTCAACCTTCACAACTGTTAAAGGATGTGTAGTGCCGGTTAGAATTTAATTACAAATCAAACCTAAAACTCTTTCAAACAAGACAAAAACTATCCACATCAGCAAGACTCAAACTGGAACAGGCAATGCCATGAGACACCCTGTGGGGGAGGTTTAAAAAACCCCAAAAGTTGGCTGGAAAAAGTCAGAAATCCCAAACCAGAGAGTGCTGAATTTAAGCCTGCTGCAAACACAGATTATTGAGCTAATTTCAGCCCATTATATTTAAATGTGCAAAGCTTTGCACATGACTTTCAGTTGTTTCCCACAACCAATCCAGTGCAAGATCATTACATGCCCATGATGCCTACCAGAGCACAGACAATTTGGTGTGTTCTTTCTCTTGTTTAGGCAAAAGTTGCATACCTTTGGTTCAAGAAGCTTATGACTCTTACTTAATAATGTGTCTGACCCACTCAGGCCAGGAAGCAGCTAAGAACATCCTCAAAATAACTCATCCAAGAGTATGATCCAATTCCAGATGACAATCAGATCAGTATTGCCTGATTCTGCATCTCTGCATCATTGTAAAACTAAGCAAGTCTATATTTCCTTATCTGTATCTGATCCCAAAGTGTCTGATAAGTGGACAATTGACCTGGACAAGTATAAATAATCACTTCATTTGTGATTGCCTCCTCACTTTCTGATCATAAAAGCATTCCATTTCTCTATTTATCTCCCTCTTATCTATTATAAAGCTTGATCCTGTAATATGCTGGACATCCTTCATTCCCACTGAAGTATAAAAAACAAATAAAAAAAACAAATTTGAATTCATGAGCTGTTACATGCATCTATTTCTCAAGACCATGTCTCAGTAGCTACCAGAATGTTATTGTGCCTCCAAATGTGTTGTTATAAAACACAGACCACAGTTCCTTGCTTCCAAGGACATGATATCAGGCACTGTTTAATCCCTATAAATTAAACAGCTGCTCTGCAGCTAGAGCATCATTATTTGGAGCAGATATTAAGTATAATGTATTCTTAAACTTAAAATGCATTCACATTGTTCCTGACTTAGGAAAACTAAGGTCCAGTTTAAATCAATAGGATTAGCACAGAGGTACTCAGCCAGAAGCAGCCCGTGGAGCCATCGTATCTGCTCCGCAGACACCACACAGGTCAGGAAATTTGGCAGTGTGGGAGCGGTGGTAATTAGTACCACTACCCTCTCCCATTGCCAAAGTGCCAAACCCCAAGTGACTGGATCAGAGCTAGGCTGTGCCCCCACACCCACAGCTGGATCGGGGCTGAACCAAGCCCCCTTCTCCCCACAGGGCCAGGTTGGGACTGAGTCAAGCCCCTGTTCCCCCCATGGAGCTCAGTTGGGGCTGGGCTACCCCCCGCCCCTGCACAGCCAGACAGGGCCCCACAGTGACCACACTGGGCACTGGATTGGGACCACTGGCCAGATCCAGCCCATAGACAAACCAGGCACTGCCCATCCAACATGCCAGGCAGAAAGGTTGAACACCACCTGATTAGCACATGTTTAAAGTAAAGCACATGTTAATTAGGGATAGCCAGATGAATCAGGGTACATGTTTCCCTCGCTTTATGCTGTATATGTATTCCTGGAAAATGGCGCGTAACTCGAATTCACATAAAGAGAACCCACTTTACAATGTAACAAATGGGAATATATTCCAAGACCTCGACTGTACTGACCCCCAGACCCATTTCTACCACGTTTACAAGACAATTTTGGTACTCAGCAACAGCAGACAGTGCACACAAGCACAGGGCACTATTATAATGGGGAAACACGTGTCGCGGACAACAAGCGAGGCGCACAGAGCCACACAGAAGACTATATTTTGGTGCACGTCACCCCCACAATGCACCGCACAAAGCAGCTGACTGCGGGCTTCCACCACACTGATCGAATAAGAGTGAATTTACCTCGCATTTAACGAACTTTTGGTATAAAAAGGGTCATCGCATAAGAGCAAATTCACACATACAGAACCTGCAAAAAGCAAGGGAAACCTGTATCTATAGCTTCTGTATTTGCGGTCAAAGTTCAGTAAGTTCAGAATAAGAGCTAAGTCAAGAGGAACCTAAGCAAGGCAGAGATGGTACAATTTATATCTTCCTCCAGCCCCTCAACTCATAAATCACCCTAGCATAGACTTGCACCCCCTTGCAGCTGTATGAGTTACGTGCCTGATACATCCCCTTTGAATTTGGCCCAGGTTGGGGCCAAGGGACCTTTTACTAGATTATGTAGCCCCTCCCCATTCAGCATGACGAGATTGATTGCATCATCGCTAAGCCATCCTTGACAGATCAGTGGCCAACCTTGAACATCTCCAGAGACTATGATTCCTGAGCCTGCCCTAGCAGATTCTTTCATCGCCCAACTCTTATAATAAAATTTCTCTAATATTTAACCTAAATTATCTCTACTGAAGTATCAGCCTGTTACCTCTCCTCCCAGCATTGACAGCTTGTCAGTATTGATAAGTGATGAATTGAAGTAGCTCATCGTTTCATACTAGGGAAAAGAGACAGATTTTTTTTTTCCTTTTGAAACAAAGTACCTCATACTTTCCCACAACATGATTAATGTGACTTGGTAATGATAATGACGTGCACTTATATAGCACCATCCATCCAGATAGAGCCCAAAACTCCCCATGAGCTGTAGACATAGTTCTCCCACCGTTATTCACACAAGGCACTCTATTCACTAGGGATAGTCCTGGAATAAAGCACTACTCCATGGGAATGAGAATATCAGATCTGGCTAATAGTACAGGGCTTATGTCTTATTGTCAGGATTTACGTGGCATTTATCCGCATGCCTTGTGTTGGCCCTTTGCACAGGGTTGAATTCCACCCATTGTGAATAAGCAGGGTAGAATTGGGTCTTACATTTAATAAACATATGATATTATCACTGATTCACAGCAAAAGGTATTGGCTGTTCAGTAGCACACTGGCACTGAAGAATGACAGATACCATTAAAACTGGGAAAACTGGGGAAGCGTATATAATTAGCTACAATTAGGAACCTAGACATGGTGCTGGTACAACTGGAAATAATCAGTTACTAAATTCCTTCAGGACATTACAAAGTTAATAATCCAAATAACGCTCTATTTTCCCCATCAGGTACAAGTACAAGGAATGACTGGAAACATCCAGTTTGACACCTATGGGCGTAGAACAAATTATACAATTGATGTATATGAAGTGAAAGCTGCTGGATCTCGGAAAGTAAGTTCTCCATATACATATTGTGGCCTGATTTCTTAAAACTGTTTATTCCAACATTTTTTAAGCTCAAAAAGTATTATACAGCTGTATATCCTGATAGAGTCTCTTGAATTCTATTTATTTCTCTCCTTCCCTACTGGAGGAATCTTCTTCCATTAACACTGTACTTATTCTGACCATATCACCTTCTCAAATCAGTGGCTTCTATATCAACGTCACACTTCTTATCTTCAAGTTCAAGGCCATGCTGCCACATCCCAGTTCTGATTTCTTCCATCCCCTTACCTAATTTTTTCTTCATCTCCTCCTTTCCCTCCATAAAAGACCTCAAAGCAGTAGAGAAGTTGGAGTTAATATATTATAGAAACTGCTTATAAATAAAGTAAAACAGTGTATGGTTTTTAATCAGGACATGACTTTTCAGAAGACCATTCTTTCATGTCCTAAGGAAAATATGCAGAAGTTCCTAAGTGACATAGAGGCCTAAATTCCATTTTCAGAAGTGACTTAGACACGATTTCCGAAGGTAATTGGCACCTAGAGTAAGTGCTTCATGGGACTCACAGAGGGTGCATCTACACATGCGCCGGACTGTGCAGTTGTTACTGCCCAGTCACTTAGTACTTGCTTAAGTACTTGCTTTAGTACTTAAGCAAGTAGTAAATGACTGCGCAGTAATTGCCGTTATTGTGTAGTCCTGGTACTGCACAGGTCATTTCTAATGCTGCCACACAGTAGCAATGAGCTACTGCGCAGTAGCATCAGCATCATGGTTCATGCCAACTGACACTACCTCACAGTTAGATAAAAGTGTCAAAAAGCCCTGCTGAAGTGCCCACTCTATACAGACGCTGCAGAGCCAGGTTGAATTAATGTGCTGCTTCTTCTGGTAAAGTGCAGTTTTGTTTTGTTTTTTGAACAGCTGTAAGCAGCCTGCATGTCCTCACTGTCTGGAGCGAGCATTAAAATAAGTAGCTCAGTAGCTATGGTAGCACAGACCTAAGCAAGAGTTAGTGCACAAATATTTGTCTGTTGTCAGTACCCAAACTGTCTTCTTCTTGGCTTTAATTGCACCATGGCTAAATACAGACAGTCAAAACGCCCCGGTCTGAATCGATTCAATCTTTGCAGGTTAGTCGAAGCTGCGTAGATTGAACCAATAAGCAAGTGAACAGACGTTCACTTTTGATTCCAAAAATGCATCCACATGCCTGCAGTGGCCCAGGCCAGAAGCTGTGGAGCACTAGAGCACATCCCTGCTAGACTGGAGCAGACAGCTTGGGGCCAAGACTAGTCCACCCACCCTGAGAGGGTGGGTTTGTGAGGGAGGTGTAAAGCATCCTGGAATGCTAAGGGACTGTGAGTTGACTTGAACCACATTTATGGTGGCTTATCTTTTTGTTTCCAGTTTTATTTGAGGGATGCTGTTTTGTTTTTAAGAATAATTGTTCACAGCTGCTTGGATTTGATATATTAGTAGTAGTTGAGGCTGAAATGTAGGGGTAAGAGAAGAGCTGTCACTCCACCCTAGTGTAAGGGAAGAGTGAGACAGTCCAGGCTACACAATAAGGTATTTTATTTAATTGTCCCACAGTTTATTCTCTTGTCTATGGTATATTCCATGGTTGCAGAAATTTGGGCATCTATTCCATGGCTATCATGACAAGATACGTTGTATAATTATATATATGAAACATTTATTTTCCCATATATTTTGCATGTAAATAGTTCTGCAACTTGATGGGAACACCACATTTTTAAGGCAATTCAACATAAAGGCACCTCATTCCAGTGCCATCCAGGAAATGTTCCGTGACCAAAGCCTCACAAATAGGAGCTTAAATATGTACAAGGTCCAAGAAAAGCTCTTAATCAATATTCATTTTTTTTTTTCCATCTTGAAGAAATCCTGAGTCAAATCACATTTTAATATTAAAAGGGCAGCTCTGAGTAGGCATCAGATTCATGGGTCAATGTCATTACAACAACTAACACGGTAATACTCTCTGCTTTTACAGGCTGGTTATTGGAATGAATATGAACGATTTGTGCCAGCTGTGGACCAGCTAATGTCTAACGACACTTCTTCTGTGGAGAACAGAACTATAGTTGTCACTACCATCTTGGTAAGTTGTATGTTCTTGGCCTGTTTGTTTTGGGGTAATAGGGCATACGGCTCTGAGATCTATTGAACGCCTCACCAGAAAGCACAATGTTGAATGCTATATGACTTCAAGTGACTGGGAAGTTCAGTAACCTCCAGAGATGCACTGAGGGCCTGATCCTGCAAGCATTTTATGCATGAGTAAATTTGCTCACGGGAGGAGTCCCATTGAACTCAACATTGTGCTTTCTTGCCGCCTGGTCACTTGAGCTCAATGGAACTCCTCGCGTGAGTAAAGGAACTTGTGTGTGTCAGTGATTGCAGGATCCGGCCTTCCTGCTACTGGACCAAATCTTGCAGCCCTCACTCAGGCAAAACTCCATTGACTGAGTAAGGATGGCACAATCTGGCCCATAGTGCACTGGAAATGCTATAAAAAGAGCTATCCAATGCTTGTGCAATTACTGGAGAGGGATGTTCTTATTATATATTACAGCCAATGTTGCATGTACCAGTTCTAAAGCCTGTTGCTCATGTGTTCTGTAGTATGGGTTATGTGTGTCCTTTATCACATTACACTTGTATGAAGCATGAGCCAGTGTCAGGAGCTTTCTGAAAGTATTGTTCTTTTGTATGATTTGTGAGACGTACTCAGCATTTCAGGCAGGTTTTTCAAAGACATCTGAGGCAGTTTGGTGCCCAGCAATGGAGGTGAGCAGAGCACCTGACTGCCTTAGGTCTCTTTGAAAACCCCTGCCTTATGGCTCCAACTTGCACCATTAAAATCAAATGGGAGGTTTGCAGTTAACTTTAATGGGACCAGAAGTGGGTATGTCTATGCTATAAGAGTTAAGTTTCACATAATTTTACCATGTTGCTGTCTTTGATCTACTAAAGAGTTAGTCTTAATCCTGCAAACGGGTTTAAATTTACTCATATGAGTAGTCCCATTGCCTGTGGCGGGAGTACCCCATGATTAAAGGCAGTTGCTTATATTTTGCTGGGTGGAGCCATGCATAAATTTAATCTCTTTACTAAAGATTTTTAAACTGCACGTTAAAGTTTAAAGTATATGTGAGTCTGATTTCAGAAACGTTCTAGTTACCACACAAAAGCAGAAAATACTGTAGATATTTGCCAGTAAAGAAATGCTTATAACAGGTCTCATTTTGTATGTTTGAAAAGCATATTTTATATCCATAGATTTTTGATCTTTGCTTTTGTTTCAAAGGAATCACCATATGTAATGTATAAGAAAAACCATGAACAACTAGAAGGGAATGACAGATATGAAGGATATTGTGTAGACTTAGCTTTTGAAATAGCAAAACATGTTGGAATAAAATACAAACTGTCAATTGTTGGAGATGGGAAATATGGAGCTAGGGACCCTGAAACTAAGATTTGGAATGGCATGGTGGGTGAGCTGGTCTATGGGGTAAGTTTTCTTTCACATTCATTTTAATGTTCTTTTTAAAGAAAAATGATGCACAAAGTTAATAACCTGCAAAATAAAGAATTCCTGGTTAAATCCAATGTTAAAAATTCTAGCGATTTCTTTGCAGTCCCCTTGATGTGGTCTACACCCCAAAGGTTTGGCTTTCATTGCAGGGAAAATTTCTTTTTTTCCCTGCCAACCTCCAATGAGGATTACATGGAAATGGTGAGAAATGGCATTTGGCAGATTTAACTTTCTTAAATATAGCAAGACTTTTTCTGTTCTCCTGGCTTCGTTATGAGCTAACAGCCTGCATATGCTGATCCAGGCTAGACCTCACTTTCTGCTTGCAGGGTGACAGCCACTTCAGTCTCCTCCCTATAATCTTTAATAAAAAACAGGTGCTAGAGGATTTATTGTGCCTGGCCCAATGAAGTACATCAGTGTGAGCAGGAGATACCAAAGGCTTCTTCCACTAATCTGTGCACATGTAAGGCAGGAGTGGGTTCTCATACTCCTTGGATCCCTAAAACTGCACAAAGTAACATCAGCAGTAGGGGAGGCTTTGACAAAGTAGGAGAAGGGGAAGTTCACACCGTGCCCACATGAAAAGGTGGTACAGAGCTGGAGCTTCAGGAGGTAGTGATCATGCTTGTCTCTGACGGTGCTCTGGGGCTCAGTTCTGCCCCATTTAGGTCCGTGGAAAACTATAAACTTCACTGGAGTGTGATTGGGCCCGAATGGGCTGATCTTGCAACACTGAGGTTGATGGAAGTTGTACTTTTGGTTTCACTGGACACATCTACACGTGCAGTTAGCATGGCTGAATAAACTCCTGCACAGTTTGCACCAGAGTTTATTGCTCCCGGGCACAGTGGTTACACGTGTGCCTGGGACCGCAGCACATTGAGCCAAGGCGGAGCAGCCTCAACTGGCAAGGGACCTGGGGGGTCAGCCTGCCAGCCTGGAGCTGCTCTGCCCCAGCTCAACATGCTCCAGAGGAGCTGGCTGGGGCATGAGGGTGCTTCAGTGTGGGGCTAGGAGGCAGGCAGCTCCCGCACTGTATGTAACACCCTTGTGCCCCAGCTAGCTCCGGTCACCATCTACATGTGTGTTGCAGCAGGATAAATAACTCTGCCATAAGTTTGTGTTTGTGTCAGGCAGTACTATCCTATGGTGGAGTTAATTAATTTACTGCAGTTTAATACAAGCTCACGTGTAGACAGTGATGCTTCACTGCAGAGCTAATTAATCAACTCTGCAATAAAGCGCATGTGTAGATGGCCCCAATGTGTGTAGAATCAGGTCTGAATTGCCCTAAAGGCATGTTGTACCTTTTCACCAAGGCATGCTACAGAAAGAATGCCTATTACTATCCATGCTGTGAAAGTGTCACCTTCACAAAAAGCTCTTTCTTTCCATAACTTTGGCATTTGTTTTTAGATATCTCCTGTTCACCAGTCAGTCTGTCTAATTAGTTGTGCTTCTATTTTTATGTTTCACTTTGTGTAACAGATTAAAAAAAGCACCAAGTAACTACTGTTTTATTACCATTGTATTTTTAAAAAAATGCTTTTGGAATGCTGAAACAGTACACAGATCATTCAGGCCTGGAAATACTTAGCTTTGTAGAAAGGAGATTTTGTAAGTTGATATTTCATCTTTGATTACTTCTTCCATTGCACATTACACGATTTTATTTTTTGTTTCTTGTAAGATCTTTTTAAAGTTTCTTTTTGATAAAGTTATTTTTTACTGGGATATCAGAACAGGAGTGAATATTTCTGGCTTCTACCTCTATTCCTCCTTTTGGAATATATTGTTTTTAAAAGTCAGAGAAAAATGTCACTGAGCACGTCTACGCGTGTGCTTTACTGAGCATTAAACCGTAATGTCAGGATTAGTATACTCTGACTCAGTTCATATACTCTGGCTCAGGATTAGTATACTCTGGCTCAGTTAATGCGACTGAATATACTCTGGCTCAATTTGAGCCAGAGTATATTCAGTCGCATTAATTGCATGTGTAAACGCGCCCATTGTGATAGATCATACCATATGATACAGTTTTTCTGTTGCAAAACATAAGTTAGAAAGTGGTTTCTAAAGGATTCTCGGGCTAAACTTGTGATTTCCTGTGCCTGGCTGTGCATTTCCCATTCAACTTTTATCTGTTTATGCATTATCAACAATGATTTTGTGATATGGCATATTTTGGGAAGAGAATTAGATATCAAGAATCCTTAGTTCTGTCTCCACACTCCCCTAACTGGAGCACTAAGTCATCCAATCTCTGTGCCTCCATTTCTACCACTTATAAAATTGGAATTACCTGTCCCACAGAGTAAAGCACTTTGAGACCATCTACGGAAGGAAAAGGCTCTGTGAAAAGTATTATTATGTAGCAACAACATCCTAAACTCTGTCCTGTTCAAGAAACCTCAAGAGTGCTACTTGTAATGGGGTCATTTACAACTGCCTGAGACATCTAAGTCCATAGCAACCCTTAAAACAGGCACGCTCATTTTTTAAAAAATCCATCCTGTGCCCAAGGGAAAGACAAATGACAAAAAGAAAACTAAATTCCTAATTCTTTAGTCACAGACCACGACTGATCTCACAGGGGCAAGGAGAGTGTGGCATGAACTATGCCATTTCCTTAGGGGCTTGGTCCAAATAAATTAGCTTCTGCAGCTTCTGGACGGTGGAAGATGCCTCTGCATCCTGGGCGTGCGTCCGGGAGCTCTGCAATCTGGCCCCAAAGTGCAGCTCTTGAGGGAGAAAAAGTCTGGTTTAAGCCAACCTTTCCTTGGATAAGCTGGTTTGATGTAGAGCGCACAGCTGCATCCTTCTGGGACTGGAGCAGCCCCGAGGGCCGTGCCTGTTTCACGTTGCTTCAAGCCCCAGGTGCTTTACCGCAGCACAGCAGTATTCATGAACCTTTCCCCACAGGGAGAAGAGCAGTTTTGTGAGCACCACAGACACTGATACTGCTCTGCAAGAAAATCAAAAACCTGCCCGTACAGCTGCCTTTTGTTTCTTACTGAGGGGTTCGTTTCTTTGTATTTAGAAACCGGCTTTGCAAGGGAGTACCTTTCTAGTCAACAACCGACTGAAAACCATTTTTTTCCCCCAGTGCCTTTGGGAAGAGGACAGCAATTTCCTTATTCTGATGCAGCCATGGCTTGATTCTCTGAATCCGACTTAGCTGCTACGCTCGGTTATCCAGAGGCCATGTGTGTCTCCTAGGGTGGCCATCATAGAGGACAGTCCGGTTTCCTGCTCCTCTGTCCTCTATTGATACGAAACCAGATGCCTTTATGTCCTCTATTTTTCTCTTGAAGATGTTTGTCATGAAGGCTCTTGAAGAGAAAAATAGAGGACATAAAGGCACCCGGTTTCGTATCAATAGAGGACAGAGGACAACTGGACTGTCCTCTATGATGGCCTCTATAGTGTCTCCTGAGGTTGGCCTGCAAAGCCAGCCTAGCACTTGCTCAGCTCTGCCGGGGTAGTGCTTTATCGGCTGGCCTTGGAGAGCCCATCTGGCGCTCTCTTCTCCGGGCAGCCGGAGCCCTAGCGCTCCTCCACCTCCCACGCCGGCAGTCCTCTGCTGTCTTCCTGGAGAAGGCTTCCCTTTTTCCATCTGTGGGAAGGGGCTGCACCCTGCCAGCTGCACGCAGAGGGGCCTGGCTCAGGAGCGTGCTTGAAGATGAGAAGTGCTATAGAAGTGCTAATTATGAGGAACGGCAGTGTCAGTTTTATGAAGGTTCTCCTATTTCCTGTGGGTTTAAAACCCTATTATGCAACTAAAAGCATAGGTCTCCCCAGATGCCCCCATGAGCCTCCTCTGGGAAATGACAGTGGCATTTGGCTCCCCCAGCTTCTATTTTGGGCAGACAAAAGGAGGATTGCTTCTAAAATGCCTGTATCGGTGTGGAGGTTTGATTTGCTGTACAACTAAGCTGCTGTAGGATGCACTACTCCATGGTGCCCCTGCCCTGTGCCGGCCCTATCCAGCTACCTGACAAGTTTGTCAGCACCTGTCTTCACAGCTGAGGAGACATTATGCAAATCCTATTCCATGCCAACTTCCTACAGTCCTTTTTTCAGTGCTGCTTTAAGGATGGTAGTAGAAAAGGCAGGGGCTGACATCTCTATGCTAAAAATCTAATTAAAATTAATTGATGCTTAGTTTTTGCTCTTTCTTTCTTGCTGGCTCTCTCTCTCTCTCTCTCTCACACCTCTCTCTGCCTCTTTTGGGATACCATGGGCTGCCTGGAGAGAAGAGACAGAAAACTCCTTGTTCTTTTACAGACCCTTAGGGGAACAAAGGATTCTGGGTAGGGGCCGGGAGATTCTGGAACTATGTTCTTGTAACTAAAAATCTAGATTTCCAGGTTACCCTCAGTTTTACACATTCTCTCTTAAATTAAGGAGAAGATTCTTAGCTGTGCTGCATTTCCACTCCCAGGGTCCTGCTACATGTTCAGACTAGAGCTGAATAAAAACCAGCTATAAAGTAATTACACATTTTCAAGCACTAATGTTATAGCTGCTTGGCTCTTCTTATAGCTGGATAGTCTTTCTTATTGTGTGATAATTACTTTGCATGCGCAGCTGGTCTACGTTTAGCGCGTGATTCACTGCTTAATTGCATACTATAAGTAACATCTATCGGGACCAGAGAAACAGAAAGAGGACTCAGAAGTGCTCTGCAGGGTCCATGTGTCAGGCATGACCCCAGCATAAACCACAGTAGCCAATGGTTTGTTCTTATCTAACTTACTTACCAGCAGTCCCCATGGGAGGCAGCCAATAACCTCTAGCAGATTTTCTCCCTGCCTCACGACACATCCCCTGTGTCAGGGCGGGATAGATGGTGCCGTATGGGAAGTCCCTCCTCCTCAGTTGGCTGGATCTGGCCACTTCCTGGTCCCTTTGCATTGGCAGGGTGGGGG